CCACAAGCCCGGGGGGGGGGGAGGAGGGCATGACATAAAATAAAAAAACCCTCACAGAATCATCTTGCCAAAGGAGAAAAGCCCTCACTGGTACCCATGAAATTAAACAGAACAGGGTGGGCCCCTAACAGGTGCACACTGAGCGAGGCAAGGTTTTTTTTTACTCTTGACAGCAAAGGACATGTGGTCGCTTTGGGGGGCATGCAAGGCGGGGGCCACAAACTATCATCCAGCGGGCCACAAATGGCCCCCGGGCCGCATGTTTGAGACCCCTTGTATAGATTCAATAAGATTTTGAATTCAAATAATGTATTATTTCCTTCCTTTCAAATCAAGGGGGTAATGTCGAAATATATAAATTGGGGTGGGGGTGGGGTAAAAGGTAAAAAAGTTCCCTGATCCCTGATCTACATGAATCCTATCTCTGGAATACTAACAGATTTCAGCATTTAAAGAGACATTATCTGTAACATGAGTTTGTCTCCTAGAAGAAACTGAGAGGATGAAGTGGCGGCTCCTCAGGCAGAGCCTCTTAAGCTGCACTGCCCAGAGAACGATGGTAACTGAGCAGAGGTGCCTGCAGTTTTTATTTCTCTGCACACCCAATCCTAACAGCTGTGATGCCCAATCAGCAAATGAGAAAAACTGGGAGCAGCCACCATCTTCTTTTACTTCCATACCTCCCTACCTGACCAGAAATAGCAAACCTCAGAGGAGACAGATGAAGAGTGGGGGTATATGGGCTCTTTCTGAGTAGGACGAAATCCTTCCTTTTTTCAAACTAGCCTTTGCAGCAATGCAGGACAACGGAAACGCCATTTACTGTGCTCTGCCGGTTTGCATTTCATTTCATTGCCCTCATTCTAAATTACACGTAAGATCGCCTCACGCACCCCTAATTCGTTTCCTCGAATACATGTTCAAGTCACGCACAGTTAGGCCCTAACTTGTTTGGTACCCACAACGGCTAGAGGGAGAGCTGAGGCAAACAGAGCGCTCTGGGCGGGAACCACGCCATCCTCCCTCAAAATCTCTCTGGCCTTTGTAGTCTCCTTTCATGTACAAGGGTATCCGATTTCGGCGAGCGAAGAGAGCCCCTCCCGCGCCGCCGCCACACACCCCCGACCCCTCTTCCTCCTCCTCCTCCTAGCGCTGCTGGAAGGGGAAATATGAAGGGGAGTTGCTGCTCTTGCTGCCACCACCAGTGCTGCAGCTCAGTCAGAAGGAGGAGAAATCTCAGGAGGAGACGCGGAGGAGAAGAAAACGCCTAGGCAAGAAGGACGGCCGCGGCCGCCCAAGGCGGGATCTGAGCCGCAGCAGGAGCAGGAGCCTTCCCCGCAGCAACACCAGCCGCCGCCGCCGCCGACCCAGAAGTTGCTGAGGGCGCAAAGGACTGAGCAGCGCCAGACGCCTCGGCGCACGCCCACAGTTGGTCGGCGCAGCCGGCATGGGGTGTGCCGCCTTAACTTGAAAGCTTTGGGTGAGGAGAGGAAGCTGGTGGAGTTTAAGCCTCGGGCAGCTACACGAAGAAGAAGCGGCGGCGGCGGC